GGTGGATAATCCTTTCAGGGACTCTGAGGGGCTCAGCCACAATGACCTGGTTGTCCCTTTCCTCCCTGGATCAATCTCATTCATCAGATAACCGAAGCTGAGACTGGCTTATGCTAAAGGCTCCCATCACACGATTGCCCATCTTAATAACTGCTGCCTATGTTCACACCAATTGTATGTTGGCTGCCTGTCTCCTGGAGTTGCTGCCAAGAAAAAAGGCAAGTCACAGCAGCAACATGGGACGTTGGGAGAGGTGAACTCAGATTTATGTAAGAAAAGCAAAAACTCCTAATGCAAATGGGAACAGGTCAGTATTATTGCTTATATTCAGGGGTGCTCTGCCCTACGCACTGAAAGCCTGTGAACTTTGCAGGCATTAATCAGATCTAGAGAGAGAACAAAACCAAACCTGCTTCTGTCTGCAAAGCTAGTTCATGTGAAATTAGGGGGAGAGATGAGCATGGCTGTGTCTAAAGGCAGAGTGGGAGTAAGTCCGGAAACCCTCGTGAATAAAGAAACAAAGCTGTTATCGCATCAGTCCAGTGAAGCATCTGCGTATGTCTTTAATACTGACAATTCCTCATGTCACCTGCCAAAAATAAAACAAACATCACGCCAAGATTGCCCAAGTCTTAAGAAAATACTGAGCCCAACACACCCAGCTGTGACAAACTCTCACATGGCAGCAACAGCCATGGCTGACTCGGGGGCTAAAGCTTCACAATGCTGGTAGCCTTCAGATTGTCTTGGGTTTGCTGTGGAGTAAAGCCGCTCGTTACAACACAGAGTCACCTTTCTGTCTCCCAGGACCTTGTTTACTGAGAAAAAATAGGTGTCTGACTGAGACACAAAGGTAAACCTGAAGTACATTGCACCCAACAGCAATATGATGAACATAAAACTGATGGGGATAGGAGGGACTCTAAATCTCATTCACTCCCTTAATTTTTAAATTTTTTTTTCAAGAAAAAAAATGTCAATGCATCTCAGCCATTTGGAAATACTCCAATTGCTTTCCAAATGTCTGCAGATCATCAGTTCAATTCTGAAGCGTTTTGAAGCATAGCTAACTCAGCTAATTGAAGCTAATTCCTCTCTGCACCTTTCCCTTTTCACCTTCCCAGCAAGGTGAAACCCAACTGAGATTAACAGCAGCAGCACTGAGTAGTTCAGGGCATCTCACAGCAGCTATGGCAATGTGAGGCCCCTCACACAAGGAATGGAAGGTTTGTCTAGATAATTCAAGTGATGGCCTTTTCGGTCCCACTATACATCCAAGATGTGCTGGGCAGAGTCAGAAAAATGTATGATTTCAATATGTATAAAAAGAGGGTTTTGAAAATGCATCCCCTTGTTAACAAGGATGCAAGGAAATCGATTCTAGCATCATCTGCACCAATTTTAGATCGGGGTCCCCTTTTGATTCCACTGGGGCTACGCCAAGGTGGTATCTGTGCAAGGGAAAGGAAACTCCAACCTGAAGTCATGCAAGGCAACTGGACAATCCCATAGAGACTGCTAAATCTCAAGTAGTTTATTTTTTCAAACATCCCACTCCTTAGCAGACAGCCATGCAGGGAACACAGTGCTTGGAAACGTCAAAATAACATTTCTGCTGAGACTGAGGTCTCAACAAAACCCTGAATTTCAATGCCCCTGAATATGGAGAAAAAATTTCCAACATTGAATCTGGACTGCACAGCTCAGACCATGCCCCTGTTCCTGTTCCCAGGAATGGGCATTTTTCTAACTCCATCCTTGTTCTTAAGTTTCCTGCATGGTTAAGGCAGTTGTGGGATGGAAACGAAGTGCTGACAGGTGAAGGCCCATACTGCGACTTGGAAAGTGGGAGGATGTCTGAGACTCTTCGTTTGTTGTTCTGTAACAAAAATTGGGTCACAGGCAAAACTGGTTTGTGGTTTTGAAACCAGAAAAAACAAAGAGCCTGCTGGGATGGATGAAGGTTTTGGTCTGTGTGTTTTCTTTAAACTAAAGCTCTGTTCTTGAATCTGTACCAAAGCACTGACAGTAAAGCGCTTCATGACGCAGGCATCTGATAAATCCTTAAAATAAAATAAAAAAAAAGAGTGGGATGGGGAGAGAGCTTTTCAAAAGTTGCATTATCAAAAGAAATAAAACAACAATCACACAGGAATTTTAAGTTACAGCTTAAAAATAATGTAAGTAACCCCATTCAACTGTGTCTCCCATACATACCAAGAGAAGAGATTAATGAAAAAAAAAACCAAAAAACACATTAACTGCCCTGGAATCCTGTTCTATAACTCTGGTCAAGGGGGACTTTTGACTGTACTGACAAACCACAGCTATTGAACATTGGGAGTTTGTTTTGCATCATGTCAGCATGCTATTCTCCTTCACTTTGGACTTTCAGATGGGAAAAAACCAAAACTGTGAAAGTGGTTATAGAATTTCAGGCAATCAGGCTTTTAGAAAGGTCCTATTCTGTGACATTTGTGTTTGAGTCTGAATGTGTGTGTATAGTATAAAATTATGAGCTAACATTTGAAAAGACAGCAGTCCAAGTAATAAATTTGCAGAATGAAGAGAACTGTACGGAATGATTTCAAAGGCTTATACTTGACAATTATACATATTTTATGAGGCAGTTATGCACCCTGTGCCTTTTTTAAATTCATTGTTTTATGGATGCAGTATCTCCATTTTAGCAGACAGGATATACTAAACCAATCTAATGGTCTAAAAAGCACCATTTACCACCCAACATAACAATGGCACTGCATAGCTTAATAACTTTTTTTCCTTAAACTCCTTCAATTAATCAAGTGATTCTTAACATGGCTGAAAACCAAGAATCAAATATCTGCAGTTACAATATTTGTTGAGTATTTGGCACAGTGGAGTTTGTTTGATACACCCTTTTTTTTTTTTTTTTTCTCTTCTTGTTGCTGAACATATAATGCTGTGCATAAACTACAAACACACATGTAAAGTCAGTCAAGTGGAAGCAGTTTGATATCCCACACCCATGTTTCAATGTTTAGGTAAGAGTAAAGTCTGCTAAAAAGGTATTGAACATGAATGGTAAGTTATCAACCCTCTGTAATTGTGCCAACTCTGGGGTGTCCACTGCCAGCAATGGACGAGGACTTGGGGAAGATCAGCCCCTCCACCAGCTGCATGGAAGTGATGTCCAGCATTCGGTTCAACATGCCAGGTTACTTCTCGAAACATCTGCAAGTTCACAACAGCTTCAAAATACAAACAAAAAAAAGGAGCTTTTTGATTATGATGCTAACCCTTAAAACCCTTCTGACATTTAGTCCATTGGAAATGGGTCTGGTTCCCGGGGAAAACTCATCACAATCAATTTGTATTGCTTTCCAGCAAAAAAAAAGAATGTTTTGGAAAAAGAAAAATATGCATGCAAAATAAGCCTGACCTCACGCTTCTTGAAGTCAGATGAAAGCTTCCCCATGATTTTTGCAGGCTTAGGTAAGACTCCATTGCAAAAGCAAAGCCAAATCTGCTCCTGCATAGGTGCCTCTTGAGGATCTGAATGAAAATTTCAGAGGTACCCAATGCTGGCCAGCCTCTGCTCCCATAACCCAGCCTTCCATAAGAACACTATTTGCACATCTAAGGGCAAAACATGGCCTCCAGGAGGGGAGATTATTTCACCTTCCTCACATGGCTTCCACCGAAGTCAGTCGAATTTCTCAGGTGAAAAAAAAAAGCAATTGTGAGGGTTGCAGGATTAAGGTCAGTATTCCTTTCATCTTTTACACACACACACACACACACACGCACACTTACTTTAAAGAAAACATCCACCACACAATTTCTAGATTGCAAATTATATATATCTCTTTAAAAACTGGAGAGAACATAAACAGCCTCTCCACATATATATATATGTATTCACCGAGTCACATAGAATATGAAAAAACTATATTATGTAAATCAACATATTATCTATAATTCTCCAACTGACAATTGTTTTTATAGAGACACAGTGCATTTGTTCTCTTTTTTAAAAACAGATTATGTGTCTTCATTGGCTTGGTAGCATATTAGAATGAAGGCGTATGGATAAAAAACGCAGAGGATTAAACAAACCCCTTGAGTCACGTTATGTTTGGGTGAATTAAACAGGATCCTTCCCCAAACTAGCATAAATAAATCCTCCCTATGGAAAAGTGTCAGCGATTTAAGGGTTAACATAGATTTGAAAATAATTTTTTAAAAAAATCTTACTAGAGGACTACACAGACAAGTATTTGGAATTCATCCTCCTTTAAAAATGACAGCACGTTTGGCAAGTGTGAGCAAATGTCTTGAACTTTACTGGGTTGGAGAGATCTGAGCACAGCTATTCACAGACAATCACCAAGCTGCAATCTGCGAATAAGCCTTGGCTGGGAGGACTCGGATACCTCTGACAGCATGGCTCACCACCTGAAAGGTTTCCAGCAGCTTTCAAAGTATTTATCGTGGACTCGTGGCTGGTGACAGAGTGTGACTGATGGAACAACTCCAGCACCGCTCCCTCTTTGCTACCACGGAGTGCAGCGGGTTTGAACAGCACCCCGACCAGCTAACCCTTCAGCCCATGCTGTGGGGCTCAACACATCCCTGGGACCCTGTTCCCAATGCCTGTTCCGGCACTGCCGTTATCACCTTGCTTTCTCTATGCCTCATGCCCAAGCCTGTCCGTTTGCCGAGCTCTCTGATGAACCTCTGCAGATGCCCTTCTTGGAAGCTTGTACTGTCATCAAAGGGGCTGGTACCCAGCCACAGCGGCTCCCTGCTTTCTCCATCACCCTGCAGGATGTCGCAAGTGATCCCAATAAAAGATGCTGTTCTCAAGAATCGTGGCTGGGTCTAACTTTGAGAAAAAGACAAAAGTTTCCTGCGTTGCCATTGTTTTGCAGTTCTGTTTCTTCATTCGTGCTCTCTTCTTGTTTTTATTAAAAAGGACCCTTGTATTATTAACATAGTTCACCCCTCCACAGTCACTATAAAACAGACTCCATATTTTCACACCACTCATGATCTTCAAGGTTATAGATAAATTTTGTCCTATGTGATTGATTTTGGGGCATTGAGTCCCGCCCCAGATTGTCTAGGGTGAGAGTAGAGGCAAAAAACTCACTAGTGCTGAGACCACCTTCGTGGTTCTTGATGTATCTTTTATAGTTTTTCCTCAAGCACTGCCAGGTGGTTGTATATAAGATGAATGCAAAAGACTTCAGGGCTATAGCGATACTAACATACAGGTATCTATAGACCACGTTGTCGTACAACGCGCAGGCTCCTTGCTCGCCACAGAACGTGCTCCAAAACAGACAGGTGGAGTCAATTCCAGCCCCAAAGATCAGCGGAGGTGGGATAAAACCTGTCAAAATAAGAGAGACAAATCATGCTTTTATGATCCTTATGATAAAGAGAGGACATGATCGTAGAGAACGGAAAGAGAGCATACTTTATCAAGGTTAATGGTCCCAGCTGCAGCCTGTGATTCTAATTTTTTAAGTTCTAAATCAACCTAAACAACACCCATGGATGAGTTTTTAGCTTGGACTCAACGTCTACTGAAGAGATTCCTG